CTAATTTAATTTTGTATTTGTGTCTCTACTTATAGATACATGATTCTAGCTTATAATTTTATTTTCTTGCAATATTTCTATTTTGTTTGAGTGGAAATTATTTCTTTGCGAGAGGGATGTCTGACTGCTGGCTTAGGCCCAAATCCCTAAGCTGGTAGTCAGACATTCCCCAAGGGGTCCCGGACTGTGAGAGGGTGCAGGTCGGGTTGAGGGACCCTCCTATACCTCCCAGTGCACAAATCTTGTGCACCAAGCCTCTAGTGTGTAAATGAATAACTACAGCTGTCTTTTTTTCTTTTACATTTCTTTTCACTTTTTTCAACCACTTAAAAATATAAAAGCCATTTTTAGCTTGCAGGCCATACAAAAACAAGTGGCAGGCTAGTGTGTCCCGTGAGCCATAGCCAGCCAACTCCTGAGTTATGCAATAAATTATGTTCCCTTTCATATTTTCCTTTATATTTTAAGACATATATTTTCATAATTAAAAATCTCAAATATCTTCTTATTTATAAAAGAAAATGCTTTTATTCTAGCTTTCTGTAGTTACTGTATTATTTCTATGAATATAAGAATAATTTTTCTTAAAAAATCACATTATTAAACACTTTTAGGCAATTAACATGTCTAAGATGGCTTACCAAGTTAATTTGCAGCATTTTTTCCCAGTTTTTCTCATTATTCACTCCAGCATTATTGACCAAAATGTCCAGTTTTCCAAAGTAGTCTACAGTTTTTCTGAAAGCATCTAATATCAAAAAAGAGACATTACAGGTATGTTCTTACTTTCCACATATACATGTAAGTCATATCCTATGCAATGACATGCATTTTTATGTATCCACCCTGATAGTGAACATTACACTATTAGTGACTCAATGCCTTGCTGCTCAGAGTGTGGTTGTGAGCCAGCAGCATTAGTCAGCATCACCTGGGAACTTATTAGAAAGGCAGAATCTATGACCACCACAGATCTACTGAATCAAGGACCTTAATTTTGCCCAGCTAGTGTAGTTCAGTGATTGAGCATCAATCTATGAATCAGGAAGTCCCAGGTTCAATTCCCAGTCAGGGCACATGCCCAGGTTGTGGACTCAATACCCTGTGCAGGGCGTGCAGGAGGCAGCCAATTAATTATACTCTCTTAACATTGATGTTTCTATCTCTATCTTTCTCTCCCTCTTCCTTCCTTTCTGAAATCAATAAAATATACTTTTTTAGAACACACACACACACACACAAAATCTCCACTGTGTTTAAGCAAGGTTTAATTTGTATAGATTCTGAAGCCTGAAGGTCACTCATTCCATGGTCCAATTAGATATCCAGTTCTTGAAAACCCTCCTTAGCCAGTTCATACTAGGTTTTCCTACTCTTCTGTGAGAAACACATTCCTCAGAGTTGACTTTTAAGTAGTTCTATTGATTTAAACTGTTTCGTGGGGCCTTGTATCATTGGCACTAGTTCTATTACTTGAGATTATGAAAACAATTGTAGTTTCTCTTCCAAATGACAGTAGATGTTCTCAGGTCTTGAGGCCAACTTATGAGTTTCTTGAAAAAAAGTATATCCAAGTAAAATCATAGAATTGTTGACAACCACTAGGCATATTGAGTTCCCCCAAAAGATAATTCCTTATGTAATTTAATTGTCAAAAATAGTGACATGATTTTTTAATGTGTGCCCTTTCCAGTACCTTTTACCATACTGAAATGGAAAACAACAAAATAAAAACTGTTTCCTTTTTCATGGAATTTTTACAATAATTCTTAAGATCTCAAATTGATTCTAGGAAAGATCCTCTAGTAGAAAACACTTAAGAACTTTTCTTTTTGCTTATTTATTTTTGCATTCCATCCTAAGAATGTTCCCTTCAGAACTCCACATCCACCCTATAGGAAATTAGGTTGTTAAACATGTATATCTATTAGTCATCATTGTGTGAAATTGTGCTAATGTATAAAGTGTCCAGTGTTTTGTACGAAGAGAGTTAGTAAATTAAAATCCTAAGATGTATTGACACTCTTTAATAGAGTACTGAATTTTTTCAAAATAAATCAACTGTCTATAGAGTTATCATAAAATAAACAAAAATATGTATATCTCATTACTTCTTTAATTTTCTTTTCTCATTTTAGTCTCCACTGCATTTCTTATATTCTGCCCTTAACAATGTATAATACACCATCTCCTTTCTGACATACCACTACATGCTGGGCCCAAGCAACTTACAGTCTAACTTTTGGTGATGTTTATATGCTGTGGTACTCTTTATAATGTACCTACTCTCCCCCCCACCATCACCATGGGGTAGCATTTATTCATATATACAATGAGTTCTGTCTTGTTCTTCTCCAAGAACATCTTCACCTCTGTATTTGCATGATTTCAATGAAGTCTCCTTGGGCCACATGTCTAGACCATTTGAAAAGTTAAGGCAGCACTAAATCCTGAAACGGGAAGGGTCAATGCTGTGTTTTCCTGAAGTGCAGATACGTGCTGCTGTCCAGACAACGTGTGGATTTCTCATGACCACATGCCTTCTCCTGGTCACTCATTATGTGTCTAAGTTTCCTCCTCCACAATCACTTATCCTTAAGGAATGTGTTTACAGCCAAGGTACTTATGTTAAATACAGAAAAGCAAAAACAATGAAGGTTAAATGTCACATGGGAAACTATACAAATTCAGACAGAAATAGCTTCCAGATGATCTATACCAAGGATTAGTCCATCCTGCCTGGATGTTGAGATTTGACATGCCTCTATTCTTGATCCAAAATGTCACGTGCAATCAACAAACCTTTATCCTCTGGCAAAATATGTTCCACCAGTACTGTGTTTATAGCTCACTTCTACTCACGCTTTAATACATATTGTAAATCTTTCTTAGCATTTTCAGATTTTAATTACATATCTTCCTTTAAAACAATTTTCCTTAACTGTAGGGGAACACTCCTTCCTAACATGCTATCTATTTCTAATTTCTTAAAGAATAGCCCTACATTAAAAAAAAAAAAAAAAAAGCCATACTTCAGTGTTCCTTTAAAAACAGGAGTAGCAGAGTGACTTTTTAAAAAATATATTTTTTATTGACTTCAGAGAGGAAGGGAGAAGGAGAGAGAGATAGAAACATCAATGATGAGAGAGAATCCTGCATGCCTCCTCATTGGGAATTGAGCCAACCAGGCATGTGCCCTTAACCATGATCGAACCAGAATCAAACCCAGGACCCTTCAGTCTACAGGCTGACACTCTATCCACTGAGCCAAACTGGCTAGGGCCAGAGTGACTTTTATGATTTTTTTTTTTTTACTCAGTCTTTCAATAAAACTTGGTGAGAGACAAATATCTATTTTTCTATTTTTTGTTCTCCAGAAAAACATTTTTCCAGGCATATCTATTGGACCTCTATATAACCAAATCCGTTCATATGCCAGAATCGTTCCTGTTATTTCACAAGTCAATTGTTCTATTTTAAGTGAGTAGTAGACGGAAACAGGAAAGCATTGAAGGAAAAGTCTGATAGAAACTTTCCTTCTGCCATTCTAACACTGCAGCGCAGCTATTATTGTTTTTAAACTGCTATCTCATAGGGGAAAAACCAAATGAAACACGTGGTTAACAGCATCTAGTATGTCTGTGATGATGACCCTCGACCTTGCACTCTAGTACTTTTTAAAAGAGAGACACTGGCCATACTTGTCATCTGTGTCTTCCAACTTTCTGGGAGAAGCCTCTTAGCCCATGTTTAACTTTCCAAGTTCCAGCTGCAGTTTCAATCATTTAATAATTACTGTTCGCCAGCACTGTCTCTGAATACACAAAGGGGTTTTGATTACATTATGCGCTGCCAAATGACTAAAATAAAAGGATTTCTCAGGGTTGGGCTCCCTATCTCTCTCTCTCTCTCTCTCTCTCTCTCTCTCTCTCTCTCTCTCTCTCTCTCTCTCTCTCTCTCTCTCTCTCTCTCTCTCTCTCTCTCTCTCTGTGTGTGTGTGTGTGTGTGTGTGTGTGTGTGTGTGTAGCTCCTTGGGATGTCCGTGGGAAGCATACCACTCCAAGCCATCCCCTGGAGCTCAGAGGGAGCTGCTCTCCAGCTGCCTGCCTGCCCCACGCGGACTCTCTGGCACCGGCTGGGCTGCCTTCAGGTTATCGCTTGTTCAAGGAAGGAGCGTCCCGTGTCGGTGTACAGAGCTCCTCTAGCTTACCTCTCAGTTTTTCCTGGTCGGACACATCGCAATGGATGAACAGAGTTTTCTGGGGCTCAAACTGCTCATCCAGAGCCGCTTTGCACTCGATGCCCGCCTCATAGCTCCAATCCACCAGCGCTACCTGCGGGGGAAAGAAGAGGAGCCCAGGTCCCCTTGCAGCTCGGAGAAGGAGAGGCGCAGGCGAACAGTCAATAAACACTAGGACGTTCCCCATGGGCACCTGACACTCAGAGGTTCAAGGTCGGATTTTCCCTCCAGCCACTCTGGAGGTCTACTCCACAGGGCACCGGCCTCCTCGCAGGCAGCTTTGGGAAGTTGGCACGGTGGGCACTTGGGGGCGCAACGTCCCTATCTCCCCTGGGACCCCCTCGCTTGCTTGGCAGGCGGGATGGCGGGGAGTGGGAGGTGAGTTTCTGAGGGGGAGCAGAGAAAATTCCCGCAGCCAGGCCAGTGTGAGCTCTTACCTTGGCGCCCTTGTGCAGCAGCGCCTCCGCCACGGCCCTGCCGATGCCCTGTGCCGCGCCGGTCACCAGCGCCACTTTGCCGTTCACGTGCATGGTGCGGCCGCTGCTGGGCGTCCCGCGCCTCCGCAGCTTTTATGGTCCCGGCGCGCTGCACCCCGGCCGGCGCCCTCCTGCCTGCGAGTGGGCGGGGAGGAAGCCGTCAGCCCCGCCGGCCCCGGGCTGTGTCACCTTGCCCCGAGCGCTCCGGAGCCCAGCCGCGCGCGCGATCTTGCTCTTTGCCTTCCTGACTCTTCGCTGAACCCAGGTCGCCGCCTTCCCTCTCCACCCCGGGCTGCTGCGCTCCTGGCCGCGAGCGAGCGGACCGGGAGAGCAGAAATGGTATTTATTTCTGAATAAGATGGCCCTCCATCGCCAATATGGTCATAGCGGTGTATGGTGCCGGGGGGGGGGGGGGGGGGGGTTGGGCTGGCCATGGGGGGGGGGGGACAAGGGGGAGGAGACACATTGTAAAGTATGGGATTGTCAACCACTCTACTGCTGTACGCCTGGAGTGAATACAACGTGATAACGTGATAGTGAATGTCAACTGTCATTGGAAAAGAAAACAAAAATAGAAATCTGACCCTTAAGTGAGCTAAAGACCACCTTCATGAAAGTACGTGGGGGAAGGGGCTGGGGGGGCTTCGTCCCTCCCCCCCCCACCTCACCCCCTACCCCCCCCTCCCTCCTGAGACCAGGTTCTCCACTCCTCACTGCCCCCGTCCCCCCAAAATAATGAAAAAGGCAAACAAAGCAAAAGTTTTGTCCCAATAGACTTTTTTTGTCTGAATTCTGAGCCTTTGGAGGAGTGGGGAGGGGGCGAGCCGAGTTAAGTAACACCACTGTTTTTCACTTTCGTTGTGTTTTTGACAAACTTGAATCTATCATTTCACGGCTGGTTCTTTAAGAACCCTGTTGGCACTTTTGTTTCAGATCAGTATCAATTGTTGGTCGTCTTGAGAGCTCCCTGCAAGAATGTGCATCTTTCGTTCCCTTGCGCAGGACTTCCAGGTCGCTGTCAGCCTGGTGAATTGTGGGTCCGATGGAATGCTTACCCACTGAATCATGCTTGCTTCAGGGCTCAGACTTAAGCATGGGACAGAAGCTCCCTGTCCTCCAGGAACTTGAGTGGGAGCTGTGTGCTGAGATGCGCTCAGCCAGGGCTATTTATACTGATGATCCAGTCACTTTTTTCTTTCTTTCTTTGTCTTCCCTTTGTTCCATGTTAACACCAGCAGGCTTCAGTTTTATTTCCATAAGTCTAATACCCGCTGGCATTTATTTTCATGGACAAAGAAATCTAAGCAGCTGTGGAAGTGACTTTTGTGTACTTTTTTTGCAGCTTACAGGAAACAGAAGGAAGGGGATTGGCTCAGTGGAGAAGGCTGCTTGGGATGCTGTGTAAGAGAGATGGGTGTTGTCAGTAAGCCACTGAAGCAGGTCCTCAAAGTGGTTTTGAAAATGGGTCTTGCCCAGCCCAGTGTGGCTCAGTGGTTGAGCTTCAACTTAGGAACCAAGAGATCATGGGTTCAATTCCCAGTCAGGGCATGTGCCCCTGTTGGGAGAGGCAGCTGATCAATGATTCTTTCTCATTATTGATATTTCTAACTCTCTCTGTCTTTCCCTTTCTTTTTGAAATAAATACAAATATTTTTTATCTTAAAAGAGTAAGAAAATGAGTCTTGAAAAAATAGAGAAATGAAGACAAGGAGAGAGATTTCTTTTCTATTATGTAATTAAATTTGTAATATGAAGAGTAAGTTGAGGTATCAGATTGAAAGGGAACAGCAGTGGACAAAAATAAGAGAAAACAAACAAAGCTCAACACCTCTAGCACATGCACAGACCACAGGAGAAGAACAGGAACAGTTTCTTTGTCAGGAACGAACTAACAAAAGAGACAGGAGAATGGAAACAGCCTAAGTGCCCATCAGCAGATGAATAGATTAAAAAACTGTGGTACATCTACACAATGGAATACTACACTGTGGTAAAAAAGGAATTCTTACCTTTTGCAATAGCATGAATGGAACTGGAGAGCATTATGCTGAGTGAAATAAGCCAGGCAGAGAAAGATAGATATCATATGATCTCACTCATTTGTGGATTATAATGACCAACATATAATCCATAGACAAAGAAGCATCAATCAGATATTAAACCTCGGAGGAAAGGTAGAGGAGGGTGGGAGGTAAGGGGGAGAGATCAACCAAAGGACTTGTGTGCATGCATATTAGCCTAACCAATGGACACAGACAAAGAGGGGTGAGGGCATGAGTGTGGGGGGGGCAGGGGGGAGGGGGTGGAGTGATAGGGGGGCAATGGGGCAATAAGGACACATATGTAATACCTTAATCAATAAAGAAAAAATAAAATAACATGGGCATACGAGAGAGAGAGAGAGAGAGAGAGAGAGAGAGAGAGAGAGAGAGAGAGAGAGAAGGAACATGTTGGGAGAGGAAAGGGTTGCAGTACATATGGGAGAAATAGTCTTGAGAAGATAAGAGCAGTTAATGATGCAAAGTGCTCCAAAGAACATAAGGAAAAGAAATGCTTTGAAGTTTTCATGACAATAATTAGTGTTAGAAAATTTACAAGGTACAGTCCATATTAATTAATGCTAACTAATTACTTCTGGATTCATATAAAAAATATGAGATAGAGGAAAATGTGGGAGGTTTTGGTTGTTTGTTGTTTTTGTTTTATTTTGTTTTCAGCGCATAGAAAATACTGGAATTTAAGGAAGAGTTTGTACCTCTTAACCCTTTTCTTTTCATTTTCCACTCCCATTATCTTTAGACATTTTCCTGCGATGATAGCAATAGCAGTGAGCCTTCTGAGTTTTAAACCCTGAATTTCTTAAACCAAATAAGGTTTCCAAAGTCCTCCAAGTAGATATTCTAAAACATAAATAGATCTGATCACATGCAGACATATTCATTTTTAAATCCTTAAGATATTTAAACTTGGGAGGCATTCTATGCCCATGTCTTTGCCATAGCCCCTCTTTTCACACTGGGAAACCCCGTGGGTTAAAACGTTCCCCACTCTCCCAGGATCAGGCCTATGTCTCACAGCATCTGTTCACCTGACCTTCCTTCATCTCCTACTTTCTTCACATGTCTTCCAACTCAGCTGGGAAAACTCTACAGTGATTACACTAACCACATTGTAATTATCTCACTATCTCTTGCATGTTTGCAAGGAGACCTTTGTTTTTATCTCTGGATGTCCCCAGCATCCAGCTCAAAGTATGTGCTTGTACTTGATGAATGAAGTTCAGTTAAACATAAGATAGATGTTCAATCAAGACAAGTCAGAAAATTTGAACCAGATGATGAGATTTTCTGTATACTGTGGTTCCTTTTAATGTGACTTAAAAGTAAGATTGAAGAAAATACATTGGCTATATGTACCACATCTTTTTTATCCAGTCATCTATTGAAGGACATTTTGGTTGTTTCTATGTCTTAGAAACATGAATAATGCTACAATGAACATAGGGGTGCATAAGTGTGAATAAGTGTTTTCAAATTTTTATCCTTGTGAATAGGTGTTTTCGAATTTTTCAGGTGAATGCCTAGAAGAGGAATTGCTGGGTCATATGGTAACTCTATTCTTAATTTTTTGAGGAATCATCATACTGTTTTCCATAGTGGCTGTACCAATTTGCATTCCTACCAGCGATGAATGAAAGTTCCTTTTTCTTCACAACTTCTCCAACACTTGCTATTATCCGTCTTGTTGACCACAGCCATTCTAACAGGTGTGAGGTGGCATATCATAGTTTTTATTTACATTTCCCTAATAGCTAATGAAGTTGAGCATCTTTTCATTTATCTGTTGGCCATTTGTATGTCTTGGGAGAAGTGTCAGGTCCTCTCCTCATTTTTAAATTGTGTTGTTTGTTTGGTGTTAAGTTGTATGAGTTCTATATACAGTATTTTGGATATTAACCCCTTGTTGGAGCTGTTGTTTGTAAATACTATCTCCCATTTGTTTGGTTTCCCCTTTTTAAAAATCTGTTTCTTTGGTTGTGCAGAAGCTTTTTAGTTTGATATAATCCCATTAATTTATTTTTCCCTTTACTTCTTTTAACTTTGGGGTCAGATTCATAAAATCTTCTCAAAGACAATGGCACACTATTCAGATATAAGAAAAAATGAAATACTGCCATTTGCAGTAACATGGATGGACCTTGTGAATATTATGCTAAGCTAAATAAGTTAGTCAGATAAAGCTAAGAACCATATGATTTCATTCATATGTGAGATATAAAACTGAAATTCATAGACACAGACAACAATATGATGATTATCAGAGGGAAGGTAAAGGGGACCAAATATATGATGTCAGAAAATGATTTGACTTTGGTTGGTGGGCATACGATGAAATATATAGATCACATATCATAGAAATGTACATTTGAAAACTATATAAACTTATTAACCAATGTCACCCCAATAAATTTAATTTTAAAAATAAAATTTAAAAAAGATTTAACTCTCACCCTCCACACATCAGTTCACAATAAGGAATGTATCATTTCCCCCATTTTGTGAATGAGATTACCAAGCTTAGGAGCTCGCTCAAGGTTACAGAGTCTGGATTCAAACATTCTGACTTCACAAACAATACAACATGCCCATGGATCCTGAGCTCTTCTCCTCTCAGTGCTGTGCATTCCTGGAAGGCAGGACTATATTTAACAATATTTGTGCACTGAACACAATGCTTTATACATTATTACTCTTCAATAAGTATTTAGAATTCTAGACCTATAGAAATCTCATATCTGTTAGGAAAAGGGGCCAAATGCATATGACAGAAGATTCAATTAACAGGGCCTCAGAGAAATAGGGGCTTGTTTTGTTCACATGACAACACTTTGCTTACAGAGAGGTCAGTAGCTAGAGTGAGGAGAGATGATTCCTGGAGCCAGGACTGGCAGTGGCTCCTCAGTCATATTAAAATAGTGACTCACTTGGAATGTCTATCTACTGAACTTCCAGGCAATCTTCCCAACCGTGCTATGACAAAGGATTTGTCTCCTCTTGGTCCAGGATTTCTGGCATGGACCACTGGAAAGGCCTTGGAATTTCCTGAGTGATGTCTTTGTTATGCTAATGAGGTGACTTAAGGTGGACCTCAAAAATGATCACCAGAAAGTCCAACTACATGATTAGAGGGTTGAAACTTTGGGCCAGTGCTACCTCTGGGGAGTGGTGGTGGTATTGAAGATGGAGTTCAATCACAGGGCCAATGATATAATCAATCATGTTTATATAATGAAACCTCACTCTGGGCACCAAAACTCAGTGGAGCTTCACAGTTGGTGAACACATCAATATGCTGGATTAGTGATATGCCCTAACTTCATGAAGAGAGCACAGAAGCCCTGCATCCCTGCCTTACATCATCCTATGTGTATCCTTTATAATAACACTGTAAGCATAAGTATAATGCCAAAGAGAAAAAAGAAAAAATTCATTGGTATGAAGAAGAATGTTTTGATATTTTGTTATATTTTATATTAAATGTCCATATTGACTTAAAAATTTCTACAGGACATTATGTATAGTATGCCAGTAAACACATCTCTAACCACCACACACACACACACCAAGGGGTTTTGTGTGTTTTTGTTTTAGAGAGAGGAAGGCAGAGGGAGAGAGAGATAGAAACATCAATGATGAGAGAGAATCATTGATTGGCTGCCTCCTGCACACCCCCTACTGGGGACGGAGCCAGCAAACCCCTGGACATGTGCCCTGACTGGGAATCAAACCATGACTTCCTGGTTCATGGGTCATCTCTCAACTACTGAGCTACACCAGCTGGGCATACTGGGGAGGTGCAGGGGAAGAGAAAGGGAGAGATAGAGTTTGATATACATTTCTTACAGCATTGCTCAGTTTCATTTACATTAGATATATATTTCTATCCCCAACATGATTAGAGTTATTAAAAACAAGATTCTTAGCTAAAACTAAGTTAAATCTGAAACAAACCACCATCCATATAATTTTGTGAAAGCATTCCTATTTACAGGTTGCATTTTATTTAGTTGTTTAAAGTTTTTAAAAATAAAAACAAATAACATTACGCAAAATGAACTGACAGACAAATTAAGAGGAATGATTGTTCTGCCATGCTATTGCAGGTCTTGGGTGTTGAACATTCAGGAGCAGACATCCTGGTTAAAAGCACAGCCTGGCTCAGAGAAACCGCCAGGGTTTCAATCCAGCTCCCCCACCTCCAAACTGTGTCACCTTGAGCAAGTTACTTAACCTATCTGAATCTCAGCTTCCTCATCCATGATAATAGTATCCACTTCATAACAGTGTTATGAAGACTATACAGAATTAAATAAATACAAGTCAAGTGCTTAGACCAGTTTCTGGCACACAGCAAATGTTATGTAAATGCTATTATCACTAAGCACTATGCCTATATAGTTGCATTTACAACCCAACTGCAAGGTAGTTCTTACTGAGGTTGCTTTATAGATAAGGCAGACAGGTTTAAAGAGGTGAGGGAGTTGGGCCAAGGTCACTTATCTAATATTGAAGAAGGTGGCTTTGACTCAACATACGACTGACTCCTGAGTAGCACTTTTTTTTTAAAAATAAAATTTCTGGATCAAATATATATTTTCACAAACACGCTACTCTCAGTTGACTCAGTTCTGACCTGCTAAGGCAGAGCTTGCTTTTCCTTCATCCTGTGCCCAGGAGTGAGCACAACATCCCAGTGTCAGCTAGGCACAGGCCCAGCTCAGACAGACACATTAGTTACTTAGTAAACATAAGCTTTTTAAATCTTTAAATAATCACATATAAATCAATACAGAAATAGGCTTTTTTAAAATTATAAATATATTTTTATTGATTTCAGGGAGGACGGGAGAGGGAGAGAGAGATAGAAACATCAGTGATGAGAGAAAATAATTGCTTGGCTGCCTCCTGCATACCCCATACTGGGGATTGAGCCTGCAACCCAGGCATGTGCCCTGACTGGGAATCCAACTGGTCGATGCTCAACCACTGGGCCATGCCGGCTGGGCTAGGCTTTTTTCTTTATTGAAACAAATGAACAAAAAACAAACACACAAACAAACAAAAAAAACCTGCATAAATAAGGCAATTTATTCTAATATCAGGGCAGGATTCTTGTCTTGGCTTTGCCTCCACAAGTTACAACAGAGGAGCTGACTATTATTTCTTGATTATTTCTATGTTTTTGTTTCTTTGCATGTTATCTCATATCATCATTTTACCAACCCTGCAAGGTAAATATTATTATTCTTGTTTTTACAGCTAACGATGAGACTCATGGAAGCCACTTTGAAATTTAGTGACACACTTGGGTTCAAACCCACTTCATGCAGTTCCAAAGCCTTTGCTGTTTCCACTAGATTCAGCTGTCTTAGACAAATGGTTGTTAAATGCAGTCTCCTCCTCTTGGCTAATTCTTACGCTTCCTGCTAAGTGGGGAATAAATTGACATTCCATGAAACTCCCAGTATAGTGCCTGGCACTACTTGGTGATCGATAAATTATTATTATTAGATTCTTCCTGAATATTTATATTTATATCTAAACTCAGAGATAAACACTTAGTTAGCAATGAAAAAGACAATGATGATAAGGATAGATTTATAGTTCCAAAGTACAGGTGAGATATTTTAACTTTTCATGATGTATTAGTCGGCCAGGGCTGCCATAACAACAATATATTCCTGTGAGTGGTAAGAAGTGGAAGGCAAAGGAAGTAAGAACAGAATTGAATTGAAGGTTACAGTTGCCAAAAACGTGGCAGTGACATGTGACAGAGGGTGAAGGTGGGGGGAAGAAATTCCTCTCTTGCAGGTGACCCCAGGACTGAGAGTGAGGAACCTCTGAATAATTGCTACACCTGTGTTTCCACATCATGTGGCAACTGCTCCAAAGTAATTTGCATATCATATGTTAAGCATATATAAGTTGTACTATTTATACAAAAAACTGTTTCTTGCGTTAGGGTTAGGGTTAGGGTTAGGGTTAGGGTTAAGGTTAGGGTTAGGAATAGATATGTCCTGCACTAGAATGTGAAGCCATGCAGTAAGTAAAACAAATGGTTGCACTCAATAGCACTTGTAATCTAGGGGAGGCAGACAATAATTTGGACCTAGACAGGTGTATGGGAGTGTGATTCAGAAAGACATATGGAGTGAGGTGGGTGAGGAGAGAGGAGGCTCCTGTAGTAGGTGCTATTTCTCCTGAATAAGAGCAGTTTAGGAGCAATCCAGAGAGGAGGGAAGAGGGTACTGCAAAGTTTCAGAGGCTCATTGCCTAGGCATTGAAGATATTTTTTAATACATGCTTTTCCATGTTTCATAAATCCTTAGTGTTATTAAGGTAGTAAAAGCAATAGCCCTTATAAATTAAGGTAGAAAAACTCTCATCATTGAAGCTATTTTTGGTTCTGAGAATTAGAATACATAATCTAACACCAGATTTGGAATGTCTAGAATTGGAACTTCTGTGATTTGGAAGTCAAGGGAATTTGCCCTAATATAGGCTGACGAGATCAAGCTACATGGGCATCTGCGAATGAAATCCTCAGGTTTCCTCTCTGTAACTTGGGGGCTTGATTTAATAAGAGCCCATGTATCTCTCAAAGGAAGTTGCTTGCCCTCCCTTCCCCAATCCCTTGCCCCCTCCTCCTCCTCCTCCTCCTCCTCCTCCTCCTCCTCCTCCTCCTCCTCCTCCTCCTTTTACTCCTCCTCCTCCTCCTCCTCTTCTCCTCTTCCTCTTCCTCCTACTTTTTCTCCCCTTTTCTCTTCTTTTTCTTCTTCTCTTGCTCTCTCTCATCCAAGCTTAGAATTCCTTGCAATAAGAAACAAAGAGTGAGAGCAGGACAGGAAAGAACTGTTTGTTCTGGGAGATTTCTATCAGCTATATCCACAGTTCCAGGGAGTACATTTTATACTATCTTCCTGAAGAAAATTAATGGGATTTATGGGTACTGAAAGTTACCCATAAACCTCACATTAGACTAGGAAGAGGACTGTATTTTTCTGTTTAGGGTTACAGTGGCTTGATATGGTTAAATAGATGTGCATTAGTTTCCTGGAACATGTTTTCAAACTAGTGGCAATGATGGTGATGATAATGAAAATGGTAGTTACTTATTAAGGGCTTGCTCTATAATAGGCTTTATAGAGGTTTACACACATTGTCTCTTTTATTCCCTAAAATGATGCTGTGAAGTTGCAATTATGATTTCTTCTGATTTACAGAAAAGTGAGGCTTAGAGATATTTAGTCAATTATCCAACTTCACACCATTAGTAAATGACAGAGCTGTCGAATATGACACCATTCTGTGCATTGCTGCTATGTTATTCTGCTGTACATTTGAAAGTCTGCCACATTGTATAATGCTCATTACCTACTACCTACTACTTTTTTTTCTGATTTATGTTGGCATTGAGTAACATTTCTAGAAGACACTGTTGATATATTTAGGCAATTTTTAGAATTGTTTGGAATAAGATCCTGGGCATTGAGTAACTGTATGGTTAGGTGGTGCTGATTACCCAGATTTTGGGGGGCTGAGTTTTAGAAAGAAGAAGGGAAAGGTAAGCCTTCCTAAATGGAAAGAGCAATACACATGGATCCCAGTTTATCAGTGATATCTCATTGTGGTTTTAATTCACATCTCTCTGATAATTTGTGACATTGAGCATATCTTCATATGTCTACTGGCCATCCATATGTCCTCTTTGGAGAATGGTCAACTCAAGTCCTTATTTGGGATTTTTTTTGTTTGTTTGTTCTATTTTGGTGTTGTTTTATAAGTTCTTTATAAATTTTGGGTAGTAGCCTCAAATCTTCTTAGAGACTCAACCTTTAGTCTCTGTTTAAATAAAAAGAAGTTTAGAGTGGCTCAAGTCATTTCCTGTACTTAAAACATTTGGCAAAAAATGTGTTCCAGAGTTATTAAAACTGATGTGTTTAATTTTGGCAGCTTCTTTTGCCCTCAGGATACTTTGTAACATCTGCTATTCCATAGAGTACATATTAATCATGAGTGGCCTTGTTTTATTATGTTTTTCTTTCAATACTTAAAAATACACATGAAAAATAAAACTCACACAAGCCTTTCAGGGTGAATGGTGCTGTAAAATTATTTATTTTTTATGTTTTTGGCAAAGTGTGGAAAAAATGCAGCTTATCTCCTTATTTAAATCTAAAACAACTTCCATGAATTAAATACCCACAGAATAAAATTTATTTTTTTCCATGCAAAGACCTTAATAAAATGAAGAAATACATTTCTTGAATTGCATCATTGAAGAAGGTTTGTGATGACCTTGAAGGGTAGTAGAATATGACAACCCAGAATATACTACTTTGGCAAAAGGATTTTTTTTTTTTTTGGCTAAAGCAATGAAGTAAATATTTAAAAAGTTCTCTACACTGTATTTGCTGAAAACAGGACATACATTTGTAAAGGTGCCCCCTCTCCTATCTCTCCCAAGAACAGCGGTTAATCACCAAAGAAAACTCCAGACCCTTATCAGTCCATAGGCAGAACTTTGCTAAAACTAGCCCTTATCTATCATTAGTTTCCTCATGTATTTATTTGCCTATCCACAATTTGCTGCCTCTAAAAGCTCAGAATATTTTTTTTATGTGTGTTGTCACTTCTCCACAAAATCATTTTTCTTTTGTTAAGATGCAATGTAAACCCAACTTCTAATCACTACTTGGAGTGATTCATTACTGGGTGCTCCCATGTGCATATACAATGTACATGTTAATGAGCTCCTGCTTGCCTCTTTCTTGTTAATTTTTCTTTGATTTATAAGGCCTCAGTCAATGAACTTAAAATGATTATAGGGGAAAGAATGATTTTCTTTCTCTACACTCTTAATTCCCAATGACATGCCTAGAGTAACAGTCCTATTAAATTTCTTTGCAAACCCACGTTGCTGCAAATGGCAATATTTCATCATTTTTATGGCTAACTAGTATTTCATTGTCTATATGTACCACATCTTCTTTATCCAAATATCCATTGACAGACAGATAGTATCCATGTCTTAACTATTGTGAATAATGCTGCAATGGACTTAGGGGTACATACTTTTCTTTATGAAGAGTGTTTTCAGATTTTTAAGGTATATAATCAGAAAAGGGATCCCTGGGTCATATGATAGCTTTATTCTTAAATTTTTCCATAGTGGCTGCATCATTTTACATTCCCACTAGCAATAAGCGAGTGTCCCCTTTTCACCATATCCTCTCCAACATTTGTTATTTCTTATCTTATCAGTTGTTCCAAGAGGTGTGAGGTGGTATCTCCTCATGGTTTCAATTTGCATTTTCTCTTATAACTAGTGAGTGTCTTTTTATTTATTAAAAATATATTTTATTGATTTTTTACAGAGAGGAAGAGAGAGGGATAGAGAGTTAGAAACATCGATGAGAGAGAGTCATCGATCAGCTGCCTCTTGCACACCCCGTAATGGGGATGTGCCCGCAACCAAGGTACATGCCCTTGACCGGAATCGAACCCGGGACCTTTCAGTCCGCAGGCCTTCGCTCTCTTCACTGAGCCAAACTGGTGCTGACAAGTGTCTTTTTATTTGCCTGTTGTCCACCTGTATGTCCTGTTTGGAATATGTCTATTCAGGTCCTCTGTCCATTTTTAATCAGATTATTTGTTCTTGTTTTTTTTTTTTTTTCGTTGTTGTTGTTGAGTTGTATGGGTTAGTTATATATTTTTGGTATTAGCCCCTTATCAGAGGTATCATTTGTAAATATCTCCTTTCAGTAACTTGGTTGCCTTTTTGTTTTATTAATGAAACTTTGAGTTTGATGCCATCCCATTCATTTTTTTCTTTTGGAGTCAAGTTCACAAAAAACCCTCTCTGATCAAGACCCAGAAGTTGATGCCTGTAATTGTTCTATATAGTTTATAGTTTCAGGTCTTCAAATATTTAATCAATTTTTTAGTTAATTTTATTTTTTATTTTTCCCCTTATTTTTTTATTAAATTATTAAATTATCTGTGTACATAATGTGTGGTGTCAAATAGCAGTCAAATTTTATTTGTTTTCATGGAAAGAGGGAATATACTGATGCATTTATGTGCTCAGTTCTTAGGAATGCTATGCCAATATTTCATCATTTTTTATTATATTTACATGTATAAATTAAGGGAATATATATATTGACTCCTGTAGTTAACTTTCTTTTGTTCAGGGATTATTGTAGCTTATTCTAACTCCCTAAAATATTAAGGGAGAGATTTGTTTCTCTTTTTAAGGAGTCACCTAGGTCTTGCCCATATAAGAGCTAATTGGATTAAGCCCTACGGAAGCTGTTGGTAATTTTCTTTTCATCAATTATATATTTGCACCTCTGTCTCCTAAGAATGGAGAAAAAGTCCAGAACATTCATTTTTCTGTGGTTGAGAGCCTGGAAAATCTTCAAAGCCCTTCAATTATCCACTCTCCAACCTGAG